GAGGAGAGGTGTGACCAGTTTGGCAGGGACCTCAACACCATGGTACCTGTGAAGAATATTGGGGACTTGAGATGGTACTCTGGATGTTTTTATGGGAGAGATTGGGATGCAGGTACTTTGAAGATCTCGCAGCAGACGTACGCTGAAGAGTTGGGGATGGATTTTGGGGTAGAGTACGGGAAGGAAATTCCTCTTTCCGTAGGGTTGAAGCTTTCAGAGTTTGACCAGGATGAGGAAGTGGTTTCATGGCCTTTTCGTGAGCTGATAGGATCATTGATGTGGCTGGCAACGCAAACGAGGCCAGATATCGCGAATGCAGTAAGAGCGGTGGCACGGTACTGTGCCTCTCCAAAAGAGATTCATTGGAGAGCAGGGCTTGGTATTTTGGGGTATGTGGTAAGGACTAGTGACTTGGGTATTACATTCAGGAGGGGTAGTGTAGCAGGATTAAGCATGGAGGTGTTCGCAGACGCAGACTATGCAAGTAAGGCTGCCGATAGGAGGTCTGTGTCAGGGGGATTGGTGATGTGTGGGGGGGGATGTATTTCTTGGTTTTCAAGGACCCAGAAGTGCGTCACGTTGAGCACGACAGAGGCGGAGTATATCTCTCTTGCGGATGTGATAAAAGAAGTGTTTTTTCTGAGGCAGGTGTGGCGTTTCATGTTACCACAAGCAGGCATGCCATGTATTCCGGTGTTCGAGGATAAGCAGGGGGCTATTCAGTTGGCGCAAAACCCGATAAGCAACAGTAACTCGAAGCACATCGACGTAAGGCACCACTTTATCAGGGAACTGGTAGGCAGGAAGGAAATATCGATTTTTCACGTGGAATCGGCGTATCAACATGCTTACTTTCTCACATAAGCACTTCACGCGGGAGATTTTGAGTTTCATGGTAACTACGTGATGAGTATGGATTAATTTATTGGTGTTTGGATTTATTTTGTGTGTGATCAAACAGCTGGGGTGGCAACATTTTACATTTTTGCCTATGGTTTTTCTCAATGGATGATGTTCTAGGCTGGGGGGCAACAAGTTCACTGAAGTTCGAAGAAGTATAACTGGTATGATCGGGGATGGTTATTGATGTCTAGCCAATGAGGCTATTGTTCTAGAGTTGAGTGGAGTTTCTGATTTTATTTTCTTGTGTTTTGGAGTTATTGAGGATCGAAAAAGACATGGCATGGTCACAAGCAGGGGGGCTGATAGATATACTTGTAGCAATGCCAAGTGGTTGTAGGATTGTGTGGTACGTGGAATGTATTTCCAGGATGTGCAAGGTACCCCTGTTGTATACTGCGTCGCCCCCTCATGGTGGTGCGTGCACGCGTGCGTTCAGTGTTTTATGTAAGTTCATGTGAGTTCATGTGAAGAAGAAGTTTATGCAACAAACCCTACACGTCTTTCCTCCTTGGCGCGAGCTCGCCGAGTTGCCGACACCCTATTCAACACACGTCTTGCGACAAGCTACCACCAGTTCGGATCATCCTGACAAGCGTCACGAGCATATGCGTGGCATCGTCATCGGATGCTGCAGCTAGGAGCTAGACAAGTTGCTAGATTTCCCCAGATTGGCTATTCCTGCCTCAAACTCTTGCGGGGCGGTTTGGCCTCGTGCGGTCGCCCCTGCTGTAGCTTCTTCTGCTCGCCGCTGTAACTCCACATCGAGAGACTCCCACAGGATGACCAGGGTATCTGCTTGTCTGGCTCTTCAATTCGAGCTACACAGCAAGCTCCACCTCTCAGCAGTAGTCCAGCTGCAGCGCATCGCGCAATCTCGCTCTCAATCAGATGCTTCGCTCTCCATTTCACCAATATGCTGTTCATAGTGTTTGCTATTGTTTATTTTCGTTGTGAAACTCATCCAATAGGGCACAGAATGCATGTGTAGCCTGACATCCTCGCGTCCAAAAGTAGACAGCGTTGTTGGAACACGTAAGTTTGAGGCATATATGTGGGCACATGTAATGTGTTTTGTGTCAGCGGCCTGAATGTTGTGTCTCGTGGGAAACCTCATCTGATTATACCACCGTGCAAGCACCCCATGAAAAAACAGCAAGATTGCAGTGTAATACGAATGCATAGTCTATCATGTTGATTTCCCCAATGCGCCCCCGCCTTTTTGTGCTCGATCTGTACACTGTTTACCGCAAGGGGCGCAGGCGTTGCTGCATTTTTTTTCTGGCCCTCCTGAACAAGCTGGCCGGGGAGTGATCTCCTCCATCGTACGGCAAGGCAGCACGCTGTATCTACCAGCTACAACACCATTGAGAGACATATGCACCAACTATTCCTCCCTGAAGGGTGGTGACCAAAGGCTATTGGGATATATCCTGCTTCTTGTGTCCCGCTGTGTCCTTCATGACGCGACAGCACTGGTAATATTGTTGTCTATTGCCTACACGTGAGGGTGCGGGTTGTTTTGCGGGTTCGTGCGATATGCCATGGTTCTCGTAAGAGTACTGCGTACCAGTAAACGATTTTAATGTATGCCCGCGGCACCCTGCAAATATACGATAATATCGCCGGGTGCGTTATGATGAGCTACCGTATGCATAGGGTTGCGGAGACTATGTGGACAACGACCGAGATCCAAGTACCTTTTTTTTTTTTTGTGCACCTTTTCGCGTCCATCTTGCGCAGAAAGAGTGCGTGAAGCCACGAGAGCTACAAGCCTTGAAAGACACATGGGGAGGAGAGCAGGCCGTGTTGGCGCAACTGCGGAAGCTGTTGCGAGTGGCGTCTGCTCTGACGTTCGCAGTTCGTTCTTTCGATAAGGCTGAACGCAAGAAGCTCATGGAGCATGTTGGGGACACGGTGAGGGCCTTCAGAGGCAATTTTCGTACCGTGTCTGACAGATTGCCGTGCAAGTTGTCTACCCAGCTTTGACCCTAGCCCATCGTCCCTTCCACAAAACATATACCAGAGAATGCCTAGGCTTGACACTTTGGAATTCCGATTGAATGTAATGGTTCCTTTTTCGCATAGAGACCTCACATCTCCGCCCCGAATAAAATCTCGTTGATTTGTTACCGCTTGTTGTTCAAGACCCTTTGCTTTGGTGGAACTTTCGGATTTCTCAAAAGCTCGAGTAAACGTTATATCCCCACGCACTTCTTGGCGTTTTCTTCGCGGCGTCTCTTGTAACCATTGCTCCTCCAAAAATGTGCCCATTTCATGTTTGTTGCACACACACCCCCCTCCCATGGAGTAAACGAGGGCGACGGTAGATCACAAAAATGTGTTTTAAACATCGTCCTCCCAGGTCCGGGTGTACGACAAATAAAAAATAAACCCAAACGGGGCTGCTGGTACATAGTTCACGCGCCAGCAACAAGCGCACTTCTCATCATGTCATTCAAGTGCGCATCAGTTTTCGTTGCAAAATGGCCTTTCCTTTTTTTTTGGGGGGGGGGTGTTGTGGTGCAGGTGGGGGTGTATGCGGAATTGCTAGGGAGAAGAGACATGAGGACAACCGTGCACTGTGCTCTGCACTACGTCCAGGCCATTGAAGACCATGGTAAGTTGAGAGAGTGTATGAAGAAGTTTCTCTCAGATTCTTGAGACTGTCCGAGTAAAACGACCCGCGTATTCTATTTTATTGTACATGCAATGATATTTAATCGCCGATCCGTGTGGAACGCCGATACCCCCCCCTTTTCGCGTTTCTCCTATGTGATGCGGTGGGGATATGTTTTGTTGTATCCGACATACACGCGTTGGTAGGCCACATGCCTGATGCCAGCACGGGCGAAGCTTCGCACCAAAGGAACAAGAAGGTCAACCATTCTAACAGCGACCGCAACGCCGCGGCGCACTACGCTCGCCGGTTCAACATGGACCTCCGCATCGATGCTCTTGCTGAAGGAATTCCGTGGGAGGTCACGAGATTCGACCGCAGGTTGAAGAAATACGTTGTGGAGACCGTCAAGGCTGGCTCCGGCTGCTCTGCGGTGCTGCGGGCGTTGGGTGATATTTTGCCGGGGGGGGGTGTCTTCCGCCCCGACGGACGCTCGTGCCGCTAGTACTCCAACGGCTGCTCAACGTGCTGCTCAGTTCCCCGGCGCCGCAATCTGGACAAGCGTGCTGTGGGAGGCCGGGTCGCGTAGGGGCAACGACGCCGGCAGAGGCGGGTGGGAGTCCCGCATTGCCACGGGCCCTCTTCGTCCCGATGAAAAGACGTTGATCGGGGCGTACAACACATGCTTCAGCTGCGGTCGTGCGGATGGGGGTGCGTTATGCGAAGAACCGCGCTGTACCGACTGCTGGTTGAACTCGTCCACGCTCGACCACAAGGACATCATTTGCACACGGTTCAAGCACGGCGCTCCTCTCCGGGCAAGTCGCGGCCTTGGCCGGTGGAAAGGGGGCGATGTCAGAGCGTCGACTCGAACGGCACCGGGTGGAGATTGGTGGCTGGCCGAGGGATGTGGAGAGGACGTGGAATTCTTCAAGGAGCAGCCCTTCGACGACGATGTACACGATGGACCCGCTCAGGCGTCGGGCCTTTCTTTGGCGCGCATCCTTTACTTCGAGCACAGAAGGAACACGCGCCAAGGATCCCACGACCGCCCTTTGACATCGTGGGTGCTGGCGTTCGACTACGTCTCCGACGGTGTTGGGAANGGGTGGAGATTGGTGGCTGGCCGAGGGATGTGGAGAGGACGTGGAATTCTTCAAGGAGCAGCCCTTCGACGACGATGTACACGATGGACCCGCTCAGGCGTCGGGCCTTTCTTTGGCGCGCATCCTTTACTTCGAGCACAGAAGGAACACGCGCCAAGGATCCCACGACCGCCCTTTGACATCGTGGGTGCTGGCGTTCGACTACGTCTCCGACGGTGTTGGGAACCAACGTAGTCCCGACCCCGTCACATTGTACCCGGTCTTGGTCCTGCGAGGTAGGCGGCGCCCAATGGTGTTCCCTTCAGCCGCAATCAGGCGGCATGTGCACATGTACCATCGCTGTCCAGGGCCCGAGCATCCGCCTGCCAATCGTGAATGGATGTGTGGACCTGAACGATGTGGTCGGAGCGGACGCCAAGCGTGGCGACACAAGTTCAGGCTGGCGTCGCCGGGAGACGGGCCGTGCGACCGCTTTCTCTTGAATGAATTTCACCACAGCATCAACCGAGAGTCTTTTGTCTTGAACTTTATCCCAGGTACATAAAATGCTTGGCGTTGAACCTAAAGTTTTGTAAACATTTGGGCCGTACGGTTTTATTCGCAGAGCCCAAATGTGTTTCGAACTTTCCCTGCCCTAAAATGATGAGAGACCTACAGTAACAACCCCCCTGCGTTCGACGTTCCGACGGCAGGTACAGCGGTAACCCTGCGGAGAGAGTGTGCGCATTGCCACTGGAGAGCTACATATTCGATGAGGTTGTTGGGGTAGACGAAATAAAAACACGTTGCGGCGAATGGGAAAGAGTTATAGTCATGTGCATGCGCCGGATACACGCGGACACACGCGGAGAGGACGTTGAGTTTTCTTGAGCATTTGGGATGGATGGAGTTGATGGAGCGATGGGGCGCCGGCGTGCAGCGTGTGGGATGTGTGCGGGCGCTCGAGGGAGAGGGGGAGAGGGTTGGGCGGGACTGCGTGGTTGTTTCTGAAATCCTTTCGCCGGCCTACATGGGGTAGCACGGATCAACTGATTTTGGGTGAGCGGCCCGAGTGACGTTCTTTTTTTTGCTGAACCTGATGAAAGTACCCTGCCGTCTCACTTCACGTATGTAGCTCTCTTGGAAGAGCATGTCATGCGCGAGGGCATTTTCCTGATTTTTTTCTCACAAAACAGGTACAGAATTCTTCTTGCTGTCGGGCCATTCGTGTCAACACTTCGCGTTTGAGGGGTGCTCATATTTGACCCCACCGCGTGCCCGGTGTGTACTTTGTACGTATCGAAAACATTGTTTTGGTTTGGCCCATGTACACATGTAGCCGGCGGGGCATATATTTGTTCGTCATGAGATACACGGCCGCGTGCCCCCATCACCTCACCATAGATATAGAGAGATGAGAAGGACGTTATAGGTTATTGTGACGTTTTTTCTCTGGATGTCGAGATGGTACGTGTGAAAAGTTCAATCATTTTTGGGCGCGGTAACAATTACAGTGGTAGATAAAAGCAAGCATCGCTCTCGCCGGCAGCCCCTCGGGGGTCGGTGGTAGTTTATGCTTGCACCAGCGCCACCCACAGCGTCTCGTTTTTGACGTGGACGTGTACGCCTATAAAGAACGTGGTGTGGCGGGGTGTGTAAATTGTGTTCGGCGATACCATCCATACAATAATGTGACGTAAGGGAGTGGCTGGATACTCCCTTGCATGGTATGGTACCTTGAGAAGTCCAAGGACGACCACCTTACATGGTGGACCCCGACGTTTTTAGGAGGATACTAGCCCTAGCAAGTCGGAACCCTCTCGCACAGACCATAAGCCAACCGCGTAGGGCCTCGACCCAGGATAAGGCCGGGACAGTCTTGCCTGTGCAGGAAGCCAAACCTCCAGAGCTAATCCTGAACACCTTGTACATTCTTGCGCCCTTTCGCACTGGGCGTAATCGAGCCCTACAGGGCCTTGGCCCAGATTAAGGCCGGGACAGCCCACCCTGTATAGGAAGCCAACCTTGTAGGCGTCGCCGTGGACACCTGGTACTTTCTTTCGCCCTGTCGACCTGACCCTAACCCAACCCTACAGGCTCCTGACCCCGTACAAGGACACGGAGACGGTGCCTGTACAACATGAAACCCCTACAGGGCTGAGCACTCATACCTTGTACAATACAGAAACCATGTACAGGGCGCACACAAGGTGTACACAGCGTAAGACAGCCTGCAGGCCCCGCCTAGGGTCTCGAATGTGGGCACGTGAGAAAGTTCGACAAGGTCCTCGCGCATGTGGGTGACCTACAGGGCTATTGAGCACCGGATACTCACGAAGAATTCGACAAAAAGACGAAGAACACCTGTCTGTGGCATCACTGGAAACAAATGGACTGCATGTATGTGAAGAATTTTCGTATAACCACGCGTGGTCATGCGACAGAGAACTGGGCGGCTGCTGCGGAACGGCGATAAGGCGCTGATGGAAACGACCGCCAGAATCAACGCCCGGGAAAATATTAGTTGATACCGAGATGTCCGCTTCTTCGTCCTCGCACATCATCGCAAGGTATTGAAGGACATCATCCCTTCCTCGCTTCTGTAAGCGTGGCCAACTGCCAAATGAAGGGGACCAGACAGTGATGGGCACGGTGTAGGCAGTTCATACAACAGCCGGGATCTTCGTTGTGGTGCTTCTGCAATCGTGGGAGTAGGCCGTGATCGATTGATCGATTGGCGTGTCCCTCCGATTGATATTTGTGTCACTTCTACTGCGTCGTATGAATCGCGATTCGAAAATGGTTGTTTCATTTTTCCAATGCAGCAGTGAACAGGACAAACAACCGGTCGCCAGACGAACGCCGGTCGCCCCGGTGGTCTTGTGGGTAACCTCAAAGCCCCTTGTGGCAAACTCGTAAGTCCAAATCCCCACGGGGTGAAAAAAGTACTATTTTGCGGATGGAAGCTCTCGTGAGTACCAAACGTCGACGTTGGCACAGTTGACGAGGGAAAGGAACGACTGGACCCTTCTCGCGATAAAAATAAAACTCATCACGCTTCGCTGGAACACGGGGAAAGAAAAAATAAAAGAAGAAAAAGTCCTGTGTGACCCTGGATGGTTGGTTGTGCAACAAAATACACTGAAAAGTGTAGAACTACATACCCCAAGAACAACTGTCGCCATGATACACAACACGTAAAAATCGTAACACATCACCATCTCATTCAGCATCGCACATCCCCTCCTCGGTCCGTTCACTCGGCGACAGCAGAGCTAGCAGGAACAAGCAACGGGGACAGATCCCGAAACTCTACTCTTGCAAGGTAGGTACGTACACGTTTCTGTGGGACAAGTGAGCCTGCATGTGTTTGAGAGCTGAGAGTATTTCACTGCAGCCTCTCAATATATCTGCTGTATGTCGAAGAAGTGATCGATGATTTTCGGGTTGGGCACGGGTTATTCAGACTGCTATAGCCTCCAATCAAAGCTGGGACGAAGGAAATGCGTGAGATCCATGCCACGGTAATACTGCTGTAGCACCATCGGCGCTACCACAATTTGGCCAAGGATCTATTGGCATCACATCAAACTAGAAGTTTGGTTATCAATTGTTGTTGTTGTTGCTGTTGTTGTTGCCTTCACGTGAAAAACCGCCTCGTTGTCTGTGTCCAGGTACATTATCCTATCCGTACTAGTCTAACCCTTGATGGGGTCGATTCCCCGTGGTCATAGGCTAACTTAACCAAAAAAGTATACGTAAATGAAATGGACCCCACGGGTTCGTAAGCCAATGAAACTCTCTAGGTCACTCCGCTCGCCTCTACACGCTATGCGAGGTAACCCTAGGTTGGAACAGATAGAAAAAACAAAAGAGAGTAGATGGAGAGAAGGGAAAGAGGAGAAAGACACAAAGACACACGCCGTAGCGGCAGACAACAAAAAAAAATGAACCAGCACAAAAACAACACTCAAGACAAAGCGGGCCACTCGATCCAGCCCATGCACGTCATCGCTCGCGGGGGGTTGGTGCAATGGTGCAGTGTCGGCCGCGGGGGGGCGGGAGAAGTCAAGTGAGGGGTTCACTTCGGGACGGTGTGGCGCGCCGCTCGGTCCGCCTCTTCACGGTTCCTGCCCTTCCTCGCCATCTCGTCCGCGTGCTGTACCCCTTCCACCCCCGCGGTTGCTGCCGTGTCCGTGTTGTCGGGTTTCTTGTTTCGTTTGAGCTCTCGTCGTTGTCAGCCTCCTCTTCCTTCTTGTGCCAGGAGGTCATAAACCTCTAGGAGGTCACGTCTTAGCTCCCTGCAGTACTCCTGCATGCCACGGTATCCCCCTGTCTACCTTCACTGCTTCCATTGATGTTGTTTCCGGGACTCCGAAAAAGCATGGCTTTACTTCATCTTTAGGTCGTCTTTCAGGCAGATCTGCCAGTTTTGCTCCGGCTTCCCCCTGCCTGGGCCCTCCCCCCCCACCAAGTCGCCAAGCATCACCCGTTTCGGGAGTCGTTCGTCTGGCTGCCTTGTCAGCGCTCCCGCGAACAGCAGGCGCCGTTGCCGGATAGTGATTTCCACGCTCTGGCACACTACCCTCTTCAGGGTCTGTACGTAGGAAAGCTGCCGGTAGGTGCCCTTCTTGTGTTGGTAGCCGATAACTCGCAGGAGCAGTCGGTGGTGTATCGTCCACAATGTCCGGTATTGGTCTTGACGTGGGGCCCATGTCATGCAGCCGTACAGCAGTGTCTCCATCGCCTCGGCTTGGAGCAGGCGAGTCTTGAGTCGAAACGTTGCTTTCGGCCTATCGAAGAGCTCCTGGCCGTACCTCCTGACGCATGCCCGCGCTGTACTGCTCCAGTAATTGATCTCCCGGGTGAGGTCGTCATGTTTGTGGACGAGGCCACCTAGGTACCGGACTTAGTCGTCTGGGCGTACCTCTGCCCTGCTGCCTCGATGATTAGCGGTGGCGGCGCGGGCAGCGGTGGTGTTGTTGTCTGCTTCTTCATCGCGCGCATCAGGAGCGTCTCCGACTACTTTTCCGATACCGTCAGCCCGAACTCCCCGAACACCTCTACGATGACGGTCATCATTCTCGCGAATCCTTCGGTCGATCTCGATACGACGCCGGCGTCCTCGGCGTACAGCATCCTCGCCCTCGCCCCCGTCTCCTCCTCCAGGTACACGAGGTTCTCCAGAATAACATCATCCGCGCTGAGCCCAATGGCAAAGACCTCGATGACCGCGGTGAAGAAGAAATTGAATAGCAGTGGGGGCAGCACGCAGCCTTGTCGCACGCCTTGCGTGGCCAAGAACCAGGACGAAACCTTTCCGTCGTCCATGCGCACCCGGGGCCGCATTTCGTCATGAATTTGGCGGATGACGACGATATTCTCCTCAGGAATCCCGGCCCCGGCCAGGACCTTCCACAGCAGCTCTCGGTCCACCGAATCATGCACCTTCTTCAGGTCGACGAAGCACATGCAGAGTGACATTTTCCTCCTCTGCCCCAACTCCTGGAGTCGCCGCACGACGAACAGCATGTCCATGGTGGATTGCCTAGGTCGGAACCCGCATCTTCGGGAGGATGTTGTTGGTTTCGCAGAAGCCCCTTAGGCGGTTGGTGATGATCTTGATGGGGACCTTGTCTACGTTGAGATAGGAGCCAGACCCCCCTGACCTTGCTGCAGTTGGACCGGTCACCCTTGTACAGCATCTTGATGGTTGCGTCCTTCCATTCTTGTGGGATCGCTCCCCCGTTCCACACCGCAACGAGGATGTCACGGAGGTGCTCCAGGACGACGGTTCCTCGTCGTCGTCGCCGATCTTGAGCAACTGTGCAGGGAGGGAGTCGTTGCCGGGTGCCTCCCAGTTCTGCCGTCCTTCCGTTGCCCGTCTCGCTTCCTAGGGGTTTGGCACCGCCCCCAACCGTCGAGTGGCACGTGTCGCTGGTTGCTGTGTCTCTTGTTCGATTATGTCTGGTTTCAGGGTGGACAATTTGGTGTTGAGAAGGGTGCCGAAGAATCTCGCCCATCGCTGGAGGATGTCGCCCTTTCTCCGGAGGAGCACGCCATTCTCGTCCGCAGCGGGTTGCTGTTCTCCTGCATGTCTCCCGCTGAGCCCCACTGATCTCTTGAGGTGTTGGTAGAGGTCTCGCACATCGCGATCCTTGTAGATCGCTGCAAGTTCCGTCAAATTTCTGTCCAGGTGGGCAAATATGCCCGTTTCGACTGCTGCGGCCACTCCCTTACACGCTGCTTTCAGGACCTTCCGCCATGTTGTGTTCAACTTGTCTTTCATCGCCTGTCGAGTTCCCCGCCGTTTTGTGAGGGTCTCCTCCAATGCTGCTCTTGTCTCAGGGGGCTCACACCATTCCTGCGTGCGTCTTCTCCGCTGTTCCTCGGGTAGTATTACCCTCGTCTCTTGGAGGAGAGCGTCGGTGAACTCCGTCGTCTTCTCCGGGGTGGTGATCGTTCGTTCGCCCTGCTGTTGGTCGAGGTTGAGGAGGAACCGCGTAATCACGTCCGATCGTGTTGCTTCGACCTGCAGTTCCCGTCGGTCGAACTCCTTCTGTTTCGGTTTGGTCCGGACTGCTCTGTTGTAGGCGAGCCTGTCACCGAGGTTGACGATAGCTATCACCAATTGGTGGTCTGAGTCTGCCTTGACTGGGTATGCCGGCTGGGGGATGACAAACATGTTAGACACTTGGCCGCGGTGTGCCTGCCTGCCTGTAAGAATGTAGTCGAGGCGCCATCGGTCGGTCCCTGACGCACCGTTGTAGGTGTGCCATATTTCGCCCTTGCGTGTCTCGAAAAACGTGTTCGCGAGTTCTAGCTTGTTTTCCGCTGCGAAAGTCACCAGTAGTCGGCCATTCTCGTTTAGCTCATCACGCCCGGGTATCCTTTTCACGCCCTCGTCCTCTCCATCCATCCTCTCTCCGGTCCGAGCATTGGTGTCCATCAGGATATACACGCACTCTTTGGAAGGAATCCTCCGCACGAGACTGTCAAGTTTCCCATAACTCTGTCTTGCTGTCAGCGGCGGTGACCTCGGTTTGGGCGTACGCAGCAACGAAGTTGATAGCTTGGCGGTGGCCCGTCATCTCAAACCTCATGAATATGCGGCGTTCATCGACGTCGTTCGTGGTGAAAGTGGAGGTCTGGCACAATGAATCTTAAACGGCTATTCCCACATCATGGACATAAAACTTCTCCGTACCACAGCAGAACACTCGGAAACCCGCAGCTGCGAACTCCGTTTGACCTGGCCTTCTGGTCTCCTGCAGCCCCACCGCCGATATATTTCGCTGCGCTGCCTTGTGTAGGATGCTGTAGGCTCGCCCATACCCTTTCTTCTCGTTTACAGCAAGAGTCCGGACATTCCAGGCTGCTATCGTGGAAAGTCGACCCTGCTGCCGCTCTCGAGTGGTGCGTGCTGCTCTCTCAGCCAGCCTACGCTTCACCCGTCCCCTTCTTTTCTTCTTCCGTTACCTCTCTTTTTGTCGTTGTTTTATTTTTTTGCGGGCTCTCGGGCTAACGTATAAGTTACCCCGGTGCTTGCCTTTTGTCCCAGCGAGTTGTCTTGTCCCGGAGCGGTGCGGCCTTCCTGCTCTGGACCCTCTCCTCTCCCCTCTCTGGTGCATACCCCACGGTGGACACAGTGTCCTCTGTTGCTGCATGGCCGCGGTGTTCAAGCTGGGGCGTCTGAATTCAGTCTTATTTGCAGCTATCCAAGTCGGATAGGTCGCGAGCCACCCCGATCTTACGACAGCGGTAGTTCCCGACCGCAAAACTCAGGATCACCTTCTGATCAGTGCTAGGGACTGTTAGGGAATGTGTATCCGTCTTTGTTGTGTGGTGTTTCGAGGTCTAAGTCCACGTACAGAAGTCGGCCCACCCCAGCAGGGAGAGGGGCAGGCCAGGGGAAGAGCATGTGTCTCATATATATATATATACTTCAGTATATATGTATTCTTCTTCCCTCGCTGCCTCGGCAAGACTTTTGCTAAGGCATGGCCTATAGCGAGGGGGGGTCTTTCTAGCGAGCATGGCTAGATTCACCACAGCAGCACAACAGCAGCGCAGCACCAGCAGTTTACTGTACTACAGAGTAAACCGTGGCTGTTGCTGAAGGTAGTCCCTTCGTTTCAAAAGAAATGGGTTGCAGTGTGTCAAAAAAGAGAGGTGTAGTAGGTATGTGTGGCTTCCCGACGGATTCTTGCGTGTAGTAGTTCCTGCCAAATAAATTGTACACTAGACTACTGTAGTAGTCTAGTCTAGAGAGAATTCACACAGCGTAGAGTAGTTGAACCATGAACAACAGCAGACCCACGAGGCCGCGTCGGCTACAAAAGAAGAGGTAATGTTTTGAAAACTGAAAAGAGATTCCCCGAAAAAGGTTTTCATGTGCCCGGTCTCTCGGTGTGTACGTACACGACACATGACATGCCTCCCACACTTTGGTCTAGACTAGTATAGTCTAGAGGAGTTGATGCAGGAAGAAAGATCCGTTCTCTCGGTGCACCCCCACTGTACACAGCATATGCCTCCCTCAAAACAGGATAGACATACATGCATGTAGGTAGATGGAGAGATATCGTGCAGCAGTAACAACAACAACATCAGCCCCGCTAGACCGCTTTGGCTACGAAACAGGAAAAAAATTGAGGCTTGATGCATACAGTACCGCATTATCATTTTCACCGTGATGAAAAATAATTCGGGAAAAAAGGAGACATGATCGATGTGTATGAAGTAGACAAAAAGACTATCCGTTCTTCGGTGTCTAGAAAAGTAGCTGGCTAATCCAATTCATAGTTTTCGGCCCCTCCCTGTGCACCCCTCCCTGTATATATCACACGTCTCGCGCATGCATTGATAGATAGGTAGATCAAAGTCATACAGCAGTAACAAGAACAGACCTGGTGAGGCTACTTTTTGGCTTCAACTTCACAAAAAGAAGAGTCGAGGATGAATGGATGCGGTGTTCTTGCGGTGAAAACGGTAGCTTTCATAGGGAAGAAAGACCCATCCATCCGGTTGGCATTCTTTGTAAATATTCTTCATCCCGTCGCTGCCGTGGCGCGGTCGGTCGGTCGGTCGAGTTGGGTTGGGTTTTAGGTTCGGCAAGGTTGGGTTGGGTTACGTTGGGTTGGGTAGGGTGGGCTTGGTCGGTCGGTTGGTCGGGATGTGTTTTGGGGCGGGGTTGGGGGGGGTTGGGGG